AGTGGTGCCATCATTTGCCCATACTGCCCTGATTGAAACCTTGGCATAACCTCTGGCTCTCTGCTCTCCTCGACCTCTCAGAGTCAATGCAGTTACCAGGTACTCTCAATTTCACCACTTATCTTTCTCACATCTCTCCATCTTGGCGGTGCCACGTCTAGCACAAGTCGAAAAACAAAAGTACCAGGGTCCTCATATTACTACTTCATTTAAGCTACGGCAAGATGCATTCTGGCCAAAAGAAACAGGAGTCCCAGCCACACAGATGGGCTGGCGGTGGGGAGAGGTCCATGTGACCGGCCCCCTTCACTTTTGCTACAAGGAGGAAGGGGTGGGCTGTTGGGGATAACGCTGACTTTTGTGACCCGGGCCTCCTGTTATTGGTGGCCACAGGTCAGGACACTGGTGGACGTGAGGAGGTGTGAGTTAAATCCCACCCGGCCTCCCACGACACCAGCCTGGGCTCTCTCAAGTAAGGACGTTGGGGGGCAGACCTGGGGCACTCTGGGAAAGAAGAGGCCAGAAGCAGGCTGGAGGACCTTGGTGAACTATCCGCTGCTTGTAAACTTCCTGCTGGAGACTCTTCGTCCTCCCGAACAGCTCTCCCCTGCCTCTCTTTTCCTTCAGGGACCCGTGGGCCGCCTGTGCTGCCTCTACTTCCTGCCCGTCTCTGGTCTCAGGCCTTATTCTTTCACATCGCCCCTTGGTACCCGACACGCCTCCTCGGGTCTCTGGGATGAAGAGGAAGCTGATGGCGTTCCTTCCTCTTTGGCCTCCTGCTCTTCTCCTATACCCTCAAGCACTGCACTATCTTCCCACTTGGTCCTCTGGCTTCCACCCTCTTCCCCACCCCTCCCAACATGTTCTGCAGACCACCCCATCCCCACCAGTCACGCTAAAACGCAGGTGTAAACATGCCCCTCTTCTGCTCAAAGACTGTCAACAATTCTCTACATCCTTAAAAAAGAAAAGGCAAAACGGAGTCTTCTCCACAGTCTGCTCCCCTTTCCAGCCGCTGGGCTGCAAAGACTACTCTGACCGGTCACTCTCCTGCATAAACTCTTCATCATCACAGGAATGTAAAACAATCTACAGTGTCTCTGCGATTTTAATAGTTTACAAAATTTCAATTAACTTTCATAAAATTATTTTTGTTAAAAAATTGAATAAAAATGACAGTAAAGCTTGTGGCTTGACACGGTGTGCCTGTGGTCTGGCATTACGGGGTGGTAGACGGAGCCTCCCAAGCTAGACTCGGGGCTCAGGAAAGACAGGGGTGCAAGTACTAACTATTTGAGGGACAAGGCATAGAACCGCTCCAAACTGTAATTTCTTCATCTGTAAATTGGAGTATCTCCCTTTCCAGAAGTATTTTGAGGACCAAAGCAGAGCCCTTTTTCAGTACCAGAAGGCTACACAGATGTCAGCTCTCCTCCTCCTGAGTCTTGCTCTTACCCTGGAGCACGGAGAGGTCTGATCCTACTCTCCCATCCTTCCAGGTGTCCCTGTGACTCTCCTCCTCAAGCCTCACCACAGTCTTCATCCAGTCCCTCAATCTCTCTTATTTTCTTCATCCTTCAACTGTCTTCTGGCCTCATTTCCCTCCCTTCACAGACAGTCTTGATTCTATGACTAACCAGTTCAATGACACTCTGCTTTCTATCCTTTCTGTCCTGCTATCTTGTCCTTTCCTCTTGCCAACAAATGACAATGGACACCCTTGCTTTACCCCTGATACTACTAAAAAGGCTTCTAATGTTTATCCATTACCAATAATAATTACTCTTAGTTTTAGATAAATACTATTTATCTTATTTTAAGGAAAGATCCATTTATCTATGTGCTTTTTAAATTACCGTATTCTGTCAAAGGCTTTTTCTGTGTCTCTTAAGATGATCAAGCTCTTTTGATTGCTTTTATCATTAATACACTGTACTTTGTGATACAGCGGCCAAAAAAGCTCAGCTGATGGTAAATGACACTAAGGGAAGCAGTGTCCACAAGGAAGGGAATGACAGTGCCACTGTGAGTGCCTGTGTCAACTACAGGCGTGCGGTAGTGCTCACATCCACGCTCCACACAAGGGAGGAATGATCGATATGGCAAAGGACTGAAGTCACTGGGGATGCACAGACATGAGAAGAGGGAGATCACGATAACCCCCAGACAGGTCAGGACTGCTACTATGCAGAAGAAGGAGGCCATTACTCTGAATGATGCCAGAGGGCCAAATAATAGAAAGTTACAAAGAGGGAAACATAGGCTTGATGGAAGAACAAAGTACCTCGTCAGTCATCAGAGCTGTCCAACAGCCCCACAGGCTGTCTGGGAGATGGCAGGTTTCCCAACAGGGATCTTCAAGCAAAGGCTTGAAGCTGTGTACAGCTGCTCCCTTTTTGGAGATTTTCAGTCAGGTATGGCCAGGACCAGAGGGAGGCCCTGAAGGTCTCTTCCACCCCACCCCCCTGAGATTCTTTTTCCTAACATTAAACCCATATGTTCCTGATAGAAACCCAAATTGGTTATAGTGAGTATGCTTCTTAAATATATCACTATAGTCTCTTTGCTACTTTTGCTTTTTTCTACGTATTAACTGATAAATTAGGGTACAATAATGATTTTACATATTTAGGATAATAGTGTGGATCACAACAAGACATGCCAAGTCTTCAAAGAGACGGGAGGACCAGATCATCTTCCTTGTCCCCTGAGGAACCTGTACGTAGGCCAAAAAGCAACAGTTAGAACTGAACATGGAACGACAGACTGGTTTAAGACTGGGAAAGGAGTTCAAAAAGGCTGTACGCTGTCACTTTATTTACTTAACATACACTGCAGAGTATATCATGTGAAAAGCCAGGGTGGATGAATCAAAAGCTGGAATCAAGGTTTCCAGGAGAAATATCAACAATCTCAGATGTGCAGATGATACCACTCGGAGGGCAGAAAGTGAAGGGGAATTGAGAAACCCCTTGATGAGGGTGAAAGAGGAGGGTGTAAAAGCTGGCTTGAAACTTAACATCAAAAAAACCTAAGACCTTGGCAACTAGTCTTATCATTTCCTGGCAAACAGATGGAGAAGAAATGGAAGCAGGGTCAGGTTTTATATTTTCGGGCTCAAAGATCACCACAGCTGGCAAATGGAGCCATGAAATTAAAAGATGCTTGCTCATTGTAATGAAAGCTATGGCAAATCTGGACAGCATATGAAAAAACAGAGACATCAACTTCCTGACAAAGGTCTGAATAATCGAAGCTATGGCTTTTTCCACTAGCAACATATGGCTATGAGAGTTGGACTATAAGGAAAGCAGAGAGTGGCATTATTGACGCTTTTGAACTGTGATGCTGGAGACGTCTTTTGAGAATCCTCTGGAAGGCAAGGAGATCTAATCAGTCAATACTTAAAGAAATTAATTCAGGCTATTCGCTGCAAGGTCAAATACTGAAGTTGAAGCTTAAATACTCTGGCCACATAATGAGAAGATGGGACTCACTGAAAAAGATTAGGAAAGATTGAAGGCAAAAGAAAAAAGGGAGAGCAGAGGATGAGATGGACAGATAATGTCATGGAAACAACAAATGTGAGCTTGTCCAGACTTTGAGAGCTAGGGGAGGACGGAAGGGCCTGGCGTGCCGTGGTTCATTGGGACATGGAGAATCAGACGCGACTAAACGGTGTGAAATTTAAATTGATTTTTTTTCATAAATGTGGGTGGTGGGAGTGACGGTAGAATGAAGTTGATTAAAAAGAGGGTGCCTAGAAGCAGAAAGACCTCTCAGGAGACTCTAACAATATTCTAGGTTAGAAAGAGATAACGGTCTGAACCCATGCGGTAACCGTACAAGCAGACTGCAGAGGCCATCGGGGCCACACCCTTCATTTTGAAGATGAGAAAACTGAGGCCCAGAAAGGTGAAGCGACTGCTTGGCACCACTGGTAGAAGGTGCAAGAGGAAGTGTATGAGCCTGCGTCCTCTGAGACCAAAGGCCATTTTTGTCTCGTCTTGCTCACTCTCTCTAGGAAATCTCCTTAAAGAGAAAGACCCCGACACTCTCCATGGCTGCAAATTGACCTCCTCCTCCCCACCCAGCTCTGCCCTAAAAAACCCTCCAGAGTCACTCCCAATATTGTGTAGCCAAGATCAATCTAGAAGAAAACAGCAAAGGCGCTGCCCCTGGCCAGCCATCCTCGGTAGAGAAAACAAAGGCATGGGGAGCAAAAGAGCCTCTAACAATGAAGGAAAAGCCTGGCTTCCGAGAAGCCCAGGTAACACTTCAAAGGGAGGGAACAATTCCACGATCCTGGCAGGCAGAACCCCAGAAGGAAGCAAGACTCTAAAGGCAGGTAGAAGGTCTACTCAAACAACTGGAGGAACCTGGAGGATGTGCGCTTGGAGGGAGGGAGCCCCAAACTGTTCCATTCAACTAAACTATTTTTTTCAGTCTAGACATCTGGCTTGGCAAAACGAGTGTGTGGTATCGACGTTTCTAATGATAGGTGCTCCATAATATGGCCTGATCAAAAAGTCTACCAGACAGCTACAGGAGGTGGAAGGGAACTCAGAGGACATCTAGGCCAACTGGCCCTTCATTTTACAGAGGAAGAGACTGAGCCCCAGGGTGGGGCAGGAATTTGTCTTGGGCACACAGTGGGCTACATGGTGATTAACGTCTATGAGTCAGAGACAGTTCACCTCAAAGTAATTTCTTAAGGTAACAGATCATTCTTCAATGAAAATTTACTTGAAATACATCTTAAACAATTGTCAAAACAAATTATGATTTAAAATACATCATGTTCCCCTTCTACACTAGCAAGCTACAGGTGAGGTGATGAGAGACTATAACTCTTAAGACAACTAGCACATGACAGGTGCTCTGTCCATCTCGGCCGACCAGAAGAACACTTGCTTCTCATGCCTCCCCCTCCCTCAGAGACACCTCCTCGGTGTCCTGAGCGACGCTTTAACCACTGACCCTCTTAGCCCTTCACTGACCTCCGAGCAGCTTTCTTCCAATATTTCTCCCTCATCGGTTTGCATGGGAACAGAATCTGTGCAAAACTCTGCAGAAACACACAAATACGGCCTAAAAGAAACAGAAAGGAGAAAGGAAAAAATACAATGAAATCACCACACAAAAAGAGAATATGTTGTTTTCAAAGGGTTTGCTGAAATCACATGCGCCTGGGACCATGAATAACTCAAGTGTTGGCCTTTAATTAGTTGGCAGTTTATTTTGTGAGGTCGGGGGAATGGGGACACTGAACAAAGCCAGATTTTTCGGTTTTATTTGGCTAAGTATTTCAATTGCTCGGGCCCCTTGAGCTGATGTTTTTATGCTTAACATTCTCAGTGTTTCATTAGGCGGTGTGAAAATGTGTTGTAGTTACTATCCCTACGTTAAAAAAATTAAATATTTGGAAAACAAACTGTACCCTAGTTAACTAGAACAAGTTTGTTGCTCAAGATACTATAGAAGTTGTCTTTTTTCCTCTAAAAAGGTTAAATGAATCAAGTTAATTATAATGAGTTTATATATAAGTTGATTACAATTATATTACAATTTAACAGACTTGAAAATTTCTGAGCACTGTTTTTAATGAATCAAAAATGTGATCCCTGATGAATAATTATTCAAATATACAACACAAATCCTCTCTATAATCCAAACACAAATATTTTTCAATCCCTAGTAATTTTTAAGTGCATCCCATCCAGAATATAACATGAAAGAGACAAGATAATGTCATCTCTCGGTAATCTATCCCTTTTTCCGAGGTCTTGGTTTGTTCACGTGCTTTCAATCAGTATTACTGCCTACACAGACAAACTCCTTGTTATGTTCTAGGCTGGGACTGTGCTGGGTGCTAGATTTACACAAGACAAAAAGTGAACCAGTGTTTGCCCTCGAGAAAGATAGCAGGAAGCCCTCACATCACTTCTGATGCTATGACTACCACAGGTTCTGTTTCACCTAGGAATGGCATGAGCCTAAGAAGCTGAAGACATGCTGGATGGTTTCCAGAATGGAGGTCTTGCTACAATCATATTATAAGTGGCCTTGGAAAATCTGCTTCCCCGGACTCTTCTTCACCTCCCCCTCCATGCTCAGGCCCCTGGACTAGAGGGAGAAGATGAAGGGGCCTTTGCCTTTCCTTCCAACACAGTGCTTTTCTCTTACAGTGAGTGGGACCTAGAGCCTCAGCTTTGGGCTCCAAAGCAGCAGGCTGGAGAGGAGCTCTGATGCAGTCTTCATAAACGCTGGTGCTCAGGACAGTCAGCCCACGCACATGCACAGCTGCCACCCTTCTGCTGCTCACGCTCCCTCACCAGCCACGCTTTCCTTTCTATAGATCCAAACCCTCCCCATGCTCTAGGATGCAGCTCAAGCCCTACTTTCTCTAAGTACTCTAAACCGGGGGGGGGGAATCTGCGGCCTCGAGGCCACATGCAACCTTTTGACTGAGTCCGAGTTTTACAAAACAAATCCTTTTAGTAAGGGATTTGTTCTGTGAAGTTTGGATTCGGTCAAAGGATGGCACTTGAGGACCTAGAGGGCCACATGTGGCCTGGAGGCTGCCCACCCCTACTCTAAATCATGCCACTTTCTCCTTTCTTTACATTGCTATTGTAGCTCTTCTCAGCAGCCCATTTTAATCCTTATTCTTTGTTCCTGGTGTGTGTGTGTGTGTGTGTGTGTCTCCTGAACTAAACTGTAAGCTATTTCGAGGAAGGGACTGAATCTTTTATATGCTTTGCGTTCCCTCTACAGAGGAGGCATTCAACAAAACTTGATGCCTAAATGAACTCACAAACAGAGGTTGCCTGCTCAGAACCTTCCCACACTTTATTTAGTTCCATATCTCTGGCTTCACACAGGATGTGTCATTTTGAATGCCCCAATTGCACCTGAAACTTAACGTGTCAAAAATCGAACTCAATCTCTTGGGCCAGGCACTCCCTCTTCGTACTAGCTCTAAGACCATCATCATTCACTCTGTCTCTCAAGCTTTTCACCAACTTTATTTCTTGCTGGTCTCCAGTGTATGCTGTTCCAACTGAGCAGAACTGCTCACCCCCACCCACACACAACTTTCTTGTCCCTAATACGGTGACTTTACACATTTTTTATGCTCCACAGACTCAACAGGTACCCTCTTTCCCTTAAGTGAAATGTCCTCCCTTCCTCAGTAATCCACATCGCAGTCTTCCTTTAAAAACCCAGATGATAACTCAAGTCTGAGGGAAAGCAATGCCCAATTAGCCTGACATGACTCGGCTCCTCTTCCCATACACCTGAATCCTGTTTGCATTCGACGCAATAACCGCTTTGCTGATGCTCCTACTTTCCAGGTGGGCACACCCTATGTCTCTCAACTAGATCAAATCTCCTGGAGTCTGTTTCACAGAGACTACCTGGGACACTGGTATCTAAGTTGGATTTGGGCAAATTGGCGCCTAGTATTTCCCTGGTAGGAAGTGAGAAGGTAGTAAGGGGAGCATGTTTGTGGGATTTGTGTATTCAGAAAGTATCAGGTCCAGGCAGTAACTTAACCTAAGGAAGAAGGGGGAAAGAAGGGTGGTCCTAGTAGAGGTGGGAAGAGGCCAAGTGATGGTGACTGGGAGGAGGAGCCAAATAATGCTAAAGTCATCACAGGATTAAGGACATGTGTATGTCCGAATTCTAACTCCATTGTATCATTTCATCACAGGTCAGTCACTAGGTCAGAACATGTGGCAAATGCTGACCACATGGGCAGTCCTGAACTTATAAAATGCTCAGCACACAGTCCAGAAGTCAATACATGTTGATGACTAACTAAAAGTGGTATCATGTGGTATCTATCCTGGGTTTTCCATAAAATTTAGAAGAAAAGGATTTTTAAAAATTCCTCTCCATTTGAGAACAAACGAGGTAATAAACTAATTTAATACTCAGAATTATACTCAAGCCAAATTTCATACCTAGTAAACAGGACACTGGTTTCCAAGTTCCATAGACCAAAGCAAATGGTCTCCAACTTTTATAGCCTAAATTCCAGTACTTGAAACATATCTGCATTTGGTCTGGTGTATATGCACTCAAAACAGGTGAAGCAGTGGATTGCATAGTGGGTTGTCTCTAAAGGGTAGCTGTTCAATAAACACACACTGAGAGCTTGGGATGTATAAAGCACTATACAGTAATTTACTGGAAACAAAAACGAGTAAGACCCTAACCTCAGATAGCTGACAATAAGCTACCGAGAAAAGACAGGCAGAAACAATGAGAACCCAAAGGAGAACGTACTGAGTGCTAGGATTGGATTATGAAAGTTCAGAGAGAATGAGCAGTGGCAGCTGGGGAAAACCAGGGAAGGCTTTCGGAAAAAGGGGACGCTGGAGATGGGCCTTTCCAAAAATACAAGCAGGGAAAGGGAAGCAAAATTAAGATAAGACAGGCCCTCTTCTCGGCCCCTGTGATCTAGTCAAAGGAAATGACCTACACATGAGGAAATCTAACATTTCTGTAGCAGAGGGTAAACAAAGTACTTCATGAGGTCCAAGGGAAGAAAGGTTAACATGGGAATGTATAGAAAGAGAAAGGAAAGGAAGCAGGAGCAGGGCAGGAATTACAGCCGGAACGGTGAGGGTGGAGGAAGGACAGTCCATCTGGACTGTGAGTGGCCTTGACTGTCAGATAAGAGAGGGGGAAGCACACTCATTTTCCCTTTTGAGGAGAGGCCTGCCCTTTCTGCATCAGTTAAGTGTCCAGGCTCTGCTCTGCCCCACCTTGCTCCCCTTCCCCATAAAGGGTAGGCTGGTCGAGGGCACAGACTGTTTGTGGCTCTGCCTAGAACTGCAGATGGCACTGAGCCGACACTCCCTCGACGTACGCTGGACCGAACTGAAGGGACAACAAGGAGCCAGTGAAGGAAGTGGAGCTGAGCAGGACAGTCGTCACAAAGGACGATGCATAAGGAAGACTTCTCCACAGTGGGAAGGACAAATGCAGAGCAGAAGGTGAGGGGTGGGAACAGGGGAGAGAGCAGCTGAGACTGTGGAAGGAGAATTAACAGTAACCTAAGGGAGAAGGCAAAGCAGAACCCAAGTTATACGGGGGAGAAGGCCGCAGGGGTCACCTCCCCACATAGAAGGGGACCCTCTCACTCCTGGACTGGCTGGGGCACCATTCAAAACGTCCACCAGCACAGGCTGCAGCCCTGCAGCCCCTGTCCCCTCAGCTATGCTCAGGTGCTGTGACTCACCATCCCCAGTGAGAGGCAATGCTGGAAGGGGCTTTCTCCACTCTGAGGCCATGGGGCCTGTGAAAGGGCCTCAGTCCTTGGTCTCCCTCTGAATTCCTTCTTTTCCCTTCTAGATGAGGGAGATGGGAGCCTCTGACCTTGGGCGTCTGAAAGGTCAAAATGGCAGTGCCAGAGCCAGCATGGCATCGATGTCCAGAGGAGCAAGGAGTGACCTTTGGGAAACTGAGATGAGGACCCATCCAGCAGAAATGCCACCTACAGATGTGAAGCTGGGGGCCAACGCTGTGTCAGAACTGAATGAAACTAAGCCTCCCTCCCCAACAACCGAGGGGGGCGGGAGTGGGGAAAATATGCCCTAAGGTACCGGGAGAAATGGGATTTTTGAAGTAAATGTCCCTTGGTCAAAGCTAACTATTGCTGAGTGGTTAACTGGAAGTGGGGAGCTTCGTCACTGGCCTCATGTGCCTGCCATCCAATGGGGGCTAGAACTGATGGGATGCTCCCAAAACCCTCGGGGGGTTCCTAGAGTCCTGAGGGGCAGATGTAGCAGACTAGGAGGGATGGCCACAGGGGCCTTACTACAGCGTCAACACAGGTGAGTCACGGTGCCCCTGAGAAGAACAGCTGTCCAAAGAAGAACAGATTCTGAGAGGGAAATAACCAGCTTAGTTTTAAACTCGCTGAACCTCACTTACTGGGCTGACATCCACAGGAAGGCAGCCATGTCAGTCAGCAGCCTGGGGAGAAGAGTAAGGCTGCAGAGCAGAGATTTGCTAGGCAGGCAGGCAGGCAGGCAGGCGGGCACGTGCTCATGGACATCATCCTCTCTCTCATGCATTTTCAACATCTCCCTCACCCCTAGCTCCCCATAATCTTCTTACATACAGGCTCAGGCCCTCTTCTTCTGAAGAGCCTTAACTACAGCTGGGCAGTGCAGTGGACTGAGAGCTGGATTTGAAATGAGGAAGGCCTGTGTTCAAATCCTGCCTGAGACACATCCTAGATGTGTGACTGACCCTGGCAAGTCACTTACCCATTGTCTGTCTCAGTCTCCTCATCTGTGAAATGAGATAATAACTGCACTCCCAAGGCTGCTGTGAGGATAAAATGAATTACTAATTGTAAAGCACTCTGCTATTTAAACGCTAGCTATTATTATTATTTTCAGTATCTGCTAACTACCTGATGCTCCACTCCAGCGGCCCCTTGCTCCGTCGCCCCCACCATCAAGTTTCCATTCGACCCTCTAAATGAGCCTCCTGCCAAGCTCAGCAATGACCTCGTGGTCTTTGTTCAGTCTTCCTCCTCCCATGATCTCTCAGCAGTTAATGTCTCCAGCCCTTCACGCTGGAGAGTCTCTCCCCTTTACAGAGCCTTCTGGGTGGGTGTCTCATCTCCTTACTGGACTGGAAGCTCCAGGAGAGCGAGGACTATGTTCTATTCAACGTTCTGTCTCCCCCAGCGCCTGGCACAGTGCTCCGCATACAGTCAGTGCCCAGTAAATGTTTGTTGTTGGCACTGCTACATCAAAGAGGTGACAGCTGACGTTCTGAAAGTTAGATATGAATGCCAAGGGACTGCATAGAGAAAGGAGACAAGTGCATGGAGGGCAGAACTGCAGGCGTGGCTGTCCCAAGGGGTCAGGCAAGAGGAGCAACTGAAGGGCTTAGGGAGAGGGAGAAGAACCAAGTGGGTGTGTTCTCCCTGAAGACGAGGGAGGAGAGAATGGATGAGGACTGGCAAAGGCTGGGCTGGGCTCTGGCCTTTGGGAGGAGCGACGGTTCCCTTCGACAGAGGCCTATCAACACAAGGGCAGGACGGGGCATGAGGCGAGCATGGGGGAGAAAGAAGGAGAAGCGTCAGGGCGCACGTCGGCATCTGAATCTAAACCCTCAGAAGGAGCATTTCCACATACCCAGTGGATCCCGACGGCCTTCTCGACGAGGTCATATCATTTGCTTTTAAAGCCTGACGTGCTACCTTCAGAACCGCCCCCTTGTCTGCACCTCCTTCTGAATTTCTACCTGTTCTTCCTCGTGTGAAGGTTTAAAAATGAGACAGTGGCACTCTTTGCTAACCAAGCAACACAAGTTACAGCATGGCCATGTCCAAAAATGCCTGCCTCCTTCCACTGCCCAGGCCCCGCACCCCTCTGCTGGTAGATGGGAGACGTCCTTCACCCCCTGTCCTTGGGACAAGAGGCTGGTCGCTGCAATGGGCAGAGCTTTTCGGTCACAGCATTGCCGTCCTCACAGCAATGATTCTCCCGGCTCTGCTCGCTTCACTGCATCAATTCAAGCGACGCAGGGCTCTCTGAAATCGTCCCTCTGGTCATTTCTCATCAGGTGATAACATTCCACCACATCTGCATCCCGCAATTTGTTCAGACACTCCTCTGTTGTCCAAGAGGCAACCTGAGGCACCTATGTAAAGTCTAATTCTTTTCTTTTCCTCTTTTCAATCTCTCCCCCAGGGGCAGCTAGGTGCCACCGTGGATAGAGCTCTGGCCTTGGAGTCAGGAGGACCTGAGTTCAAATCCAGCCTCAGACAACTGACAATGACTAGCTGTGTGACCCTGGGCGAGTCACTTAACCTTGACTGCCGCACCAAAATGAAAAAAAAAAAATCTCTCCCCCACCTGCAAGGATCAGGACATTTGCTTTCCTGGTGATTATTCCCTCCACAGTATTAGCCTTCCTTGTAACCTCTCCTCCTCTACACTGTTTCATACCCATGCATTGTCATTACTCTTTCCTGTAATTGTACACCAGCTGTGCTGGACTGTATCTTGCTTTCTGAGCATGGCCTTCAATCCCCCACCTAAATATTCCTGCTCTATTCATTCTGCTGGGAATGCCCGCTCCTCATTGTTGAAATTCAACCCATAATTCGTTTCTCAGTGCCACTTTTCAGTCTCATATCCAATTCTCTACTTCTTTCTTGTTTTAGAGGAAGCTATTTCCTTGATCCAATCTCCTCTGATGTCTCCTCCAAGACTCGGCCCCATCCATTGATCTCTCCTTCACCCCTGGCTCTTTCTAGGAGAAAGAACACTGTATCTGAAGTCAGATGACCTGGGTTCAAAACCTAGCTCTGCTACTCACCACCTCTGTAACTTGGGCAGGTCACTTAAAACCTCTCTGGGCCTCAACCTCTTCACCTGTAAAATGAGCTAGGTGGACTGGATGACCGCTAACGGTCCTTCAAGGTTCAATCTGTGATCCTACCTATACGTATGCTTTGGTCATCGCATTCTTTTGAGGGAAAAAAAGTCTTCTATTGACCTTTCTACCCCATCCAGCTACTTCCCCATCGTACTTAAGGATTTGGACTCCATTCTATGTGCAATGGGGAGCCAGTGATGGTTCAGAATACTGTGTTCTTATTTTCCACATAGAGTTCCTCCCCCATTCACTCTCAGTATAGAATTGATACAAATGTATTGGTACCTTTGATAGTATCCCTGGGCTCTTGAAGCCCGTGAGGATCAATCCAGGCTACATTCAGTGCAAAAACAAAATTCTGAAAAGAGAAGAAGAAAATCTCAATCAGTGGTGTTTATAGCACGAATTTATACAAAGCTAAAGGAATCTAACATGATATCATCTCATCAAGATGAAAAGTCCAACATAATAGTAACATTTCTTAAAAAAAACACCAGAGCACAAGTTTAGATCTTGTGATTTTGTTATTCAGTTTTACTAAAAGAAAAACATAGCAAACTTTTCTCCTTTAATTCAAGTTGCCAAAAAAAAAATTGGTTAGAGTTGTGTTTGTTTCCCAGAATCGGAGGGATTTAGAAGGGACTTGAGAAGTCAGCTGCTCCACAGCTAACCAGAAGTTGCAATGGCCTGATTTCCAAAGACATATAAAGGAACATGACTGTTCAGTCAGACTGACAAGGGCATTGGCTGCAACTTTAAAACTGTCCTACCAGTGGCTATGATCTGAATACACAAGTCTGAAGACAAGGACAGGACCAAGATGCTTTTCTGTTCTGAGTACCTTGGAAATTCATTTTCAATTAGCATTTGTAACCACTGCCCCAAAAGTTTGTGACTCTGTGGAGTGCTGCGTTTTAGTCCAAAGCCCACATTTACAATATGCATTAAGGTTACAAAGAGTTCTCTCCATAGCAACCTAGTGAAATAACTAGCATAAGACATGAATATTAGCCTAGCTTCCTCAGCTCTAGAACATAACGGGATGGGCGTGCTGACCTAACAGCCCCTTCCGAGTCAGATGAAATCTATGCTCCCATGATCCACAAACCTAACGGCAGTCACCTCTACAACATAAAAATGCTTTCACTCTGAAGCTCCAAGTCCTGTGTTTTATTATGGTATATTTGAAACCTTCCCTGCTCTTTGGCTATTTGCCTGACTTCAAGTTTGAAGACTTGGGGGGGGAGGGGGGGAGACGGGGGAAAAAAGCGAAAGCTCTCAGGATTGCGCTGAGAGCTCCTGACTCTCCCTCCTCCAGGGAAACAGTCACCAAGAGCCAAAGATCATCCCCCTCGACATGAATAGCAGCAGAAGAGGCACCAATCAGGACCAGAGAGAGGGCAGTCTGGGCAGGGCCACATCTGCCTAGACCAGATGTGCAAAGAGGCATCTAGACTCACAATAATGCTAAAACCAAAGTTGCATTACCCAGCTGCCAAACGGCTTAGTCACAAATACTTGAGTTTATTAAGAATTTAGGATATGTCATAATGCTTTTGCAGGGTGTCAGGCCAAAAATACTGCCTCAAGTTGGAGAAGACACTTCTGTCTTAGTATTCTGGGGCAAGGTGTCGTTTGGGGTGGTTTTCTGTTTTGTTTTGTTTTGTTTTTTGGTTAGGCAATGGGGTTAAGTGACCTGCCCAGGGTCACACAGCTAGTGAGAGTTACGCATCTGAGGCCACATCTGAACTCAGGTCCTCCTGAATCCAGGGCTGGCGCTCTATCCACTGCGCCACCTAGCTGCCCCTGTTTGTTTTTAAATAACAAAGAACTCCGGGAAATGGACAAAGTTTACTTCGATTCTAGATTCCAAATCACTGCCTATATCAAACTATCCTGCTCAAGCAGTTAGATAGAAGACAAAGCTTTTAGATTCTGCCTTGGGACTTCATGTTTGAGCAAGTGTGCTAACATTTTTAAAAAATTATTTGTAAATTAAAACTTTATATAAAGATGGAATAAATGAGGCACGTGATAAAAAAATGGTTAAGGCCCAGATGCCATTTGCCCAGTGGGATCCTTAAAGCGACTGGAGAGGCCTCAGAACTCCAGACTATCCGGGCCATTAGAATTCAGCCAGATATCAGACCAAGCAAATGGGAAAAATGATCATACATGGATTTTCTATACTCTTTATCTCCAAACAGCTGCGGCCCTTTTCCAGTCATCATCTTTCCACTGTCCAGACGACGACGCCCCTTCTGTTTTTTTCTTCTAGCCCCTTCACCTTTTTCAGATAATCCTGAAGGCAGGAATGGTCTCTTCTGCTGATGCGGAACAGAGCTGATTCTGGAGCATGACCACGATCTCGTTAATGCTGGGAATAACAACTTAATGGGCGCAGCCTCTCCTGTGGGCTGTGGGTCACCACGAATCTTTCCGATAGGCCGGTTTTCTTCCTGAGCCTGGCTCCAGGTCCTTCTGCGATGGGCACAGTCTCTGGCAGTGGTTGGTAGCCATCTCCCTCAGCTCCCACTTCAGCTCCTGGGGCCACCTCCTGGTCAGCTTCAGTGTCTGCCATCTTCACAGACGACTCTGTCCTATCCCCCCAAAGTTTTCTTTTCTTACATTCTGTTTCAATATGATACCAAATCTTATATTCTGATTAAAGATGAATCTCTAAATCTTCTCTAATGATCCAAAGTTGTTTATGTTTATGTATCTACATAGCTATGCTGTGTTAGGGAAATTCAAAATCCAAAATGAGGATTCTGTTTTAAAAACATAAATCGATCGATAAGAATTTGTTGTATTGTAAAAACAGCACTGGACTTGAGATCAAGGAGAATTCCACTCCAACATTTAATGGGCACAAATCACCCTCCCCTTTCTGGGTCTCACGGTTTCTGTATTCTGAGGGTAATGCTAGCTGCAATATCTACTTCACATCGTTGCTAACGAGGAAATTACTTCATTAAAAAAAAGTTATGTAAATGGGAATTATTAGGTATGTCCAGCCGCCCAATATGTTAGTGGGAGAGACAACATTAATAGACAGGGAGCAATTCAAAAGCAAGCAAGTGCTTTCAAACTATTTGGTGCTATGTAAAAATCCACCAGGAACTCAGAGATCAACATAAGCTGAAAGTCAGAGAAGGCTTCATGAAACAGGCTGGGCCTTGGGCTGGGGTACAGAGGACAGGGAAATTCAGACGGGCATCAGTGGAAGAAGAGGGAGACAGCATGAACAAAAACTCAGAGGCAGAGATGAATGCGGCAGAAGCCACTGACTGAGGACCACAGTGGAGCCTGACTACATCTATCTGAGCCTTCTTTCTAGGGCACAAAAGCCACACAGGCTCTGCAGGTATTTCTGGATTTTAACAGGTGCTGGGCACCTCCCTCAACAAGGCCAAAAAGCAGGGAGGAGAAGGTTAGTTTTCCTGGGCAGCCCCCAGCAGCATACACTTCAAGTCTTCTTCTCTCCGGGGCCCTGGTGTTATAGGGCTACGATGGGTCCCACAAATCCCTGGCTGCCACTGCTCCAATGCCCTCCTTAGCAGCTGCCAAATGTTCTCACTGTCACAGACGCAAAGACTTCAGATATTCCTCAACCCATGGCCTTCAAACCAGACTTCACGTCCACTTTATTCATGTTTTCCTTTGGCAACAGCCATGGGAGTCTGTTCTCCTATTTATGTACAGGGTAAAAAACGGTTCCTTAATGCATCATATACCACGAATCCAGAAGCCATAAACCCAAACTATTTTTTCATCTCTGGCCAATAAAACCTACTACTGGTACAAGAAAAGGGGCCTTTACTGTTAAGAGCGGTTAAATTGTTTTCAAAAAGACAAGGCAAACTGCTCAGCAGCCGACGTTCCATTTGACTCCTTGCCCTGAGGTGATTCAACTCCAAACATGCTCATTGCTTGATAGAGCTTTAGCTGCCTGAAGGTATTTTATCACTGAAAACAAGACTTTATGAATTCACAGATAAAAACAGAAAATGCTTCTTTGACTCTAGGGATAAAAAGAAATAACGAAAAATGCAATCTGATGAAAAGCTATTTTTTTTTCCTGTCTGAAGGTTAATCTAGATTAAAAACTCTTAACAAAATTACAAAGATCCCTTTCAAGGGAAAGTGAAACTAAAACTAGAAACAAGAGGGAACTGGGATGTCAACCTAACTTCTAAAAATAAACAATGACTATGACACACACACACACATTTCTGACACTTTGCATGTGGTCTAGCTGTCCCAAAGGCCCAAGAGATTGACTGATTTATTGCATGGACACTCAGAACACCAAAGATATCAACAGAGTAAAACCTCAATTAATCAGAACCTTAAGCCCATTAGAACTGCTTCAACTGTGAAAATCGTACGGAGGTTTTACTCTTTTTTTTTTTTTTTAACAGCAACCTCTAGCACCTGTCTTGGAATCTTACAAGCTTTTTTACAACAAAGTGCCTCCCGCCCATCCATTAAAATCATTCACAATTCCTTGGAAGCCTCTTCAACAACTCTCCAGTCCCAGGACAAGAGAGTACATCCTGGGGGGGGGGGGGAGGCAGAGGTATCTGAGTCAGAGATAACAGTGCTAACCAGCCTATGGCCTAGGCCCAGACTGGGTGCCAAAGGAGCTCTACTGGAGACTCTTCCAAATCCAGATTGAGCCATTAATGACTCTGCATATGGCCATTCAAGCAGTCCTGAACCCAACTCAACTACACATAATGTCACCTGACCCACATCCCTCCATCTCACCCACCAGGAAACAAAGAAAGGCTAGGACAGCTGCTTTACCAAAACTTAGTAGTTTCACCTGTAGCATTCTCCTGATCTAGTAACTCTGCCCCACAAAAAAGGCGGGGGGGGGGGGGGGAGATAAAGTTAGCTTGGCACTGTCTATTCTTGACCAAGTCATGCTGGGGCTGAAGTCTCAGAGACTTACTACCATGTAAGCTTAGGCCAAGTTGCTTAACCTCAGTTTCCTCATCTGAAAAATGGGGATAATAATAGCACCTATGCCCAAGGGTTGTTGTGAGGATCAAGTAAGACAATATTTGTAAAGTGCTTACTTAGCATAGTGCCAGGCACATGGCAGGCACTATAAAAATATGAGCTTTGGTATTGTTATTTTTAATGATATCATCTACAATTTCACCAGGAACCAAAGTCAATCACAATTCCTTTCAGTCTGTAGACTCCGCTCTCTTCTTCATTTTAAAAATCAGGACACCATTTGGCCTTTTCTACATCCTCAAGTCCGTTCCCCAGTCTCCATGACCTTTCAAAGATCACTGGAAATGAATCGCACTTGCCAGTTCTTTGAATCCCTTGGGAGTAGTT